ATTAATATATAATATAAAAACGTTATATATAATATATTAATTCTGTACTATATAAATATTATTGTATTATATCTTTATCGATTAAATCTATGGTATGTGTATATAAAAAAGAAAAATGATGATGATCATGGGAGCAAAAGAGTTCGATAAGAGTCAAATGAAGAAGAAAAAAAGTAAATATCGAATAAGAATCGTGCTCGTGTTCGTGTTAAGGTGAAAGGTGAAAGTATCTGCTCGTAGTCTCGATGGGGAAAAGATTCTCTCTGTTCATGGTAAAACTTGTAACTTGCAAAAGCGTGCACAAATCGTAGACGTATCACACGGTGGAGACATCGAGATGCTCTCGAAACATAGAAAAAGAAAAGAAAGAAAAAGAGAAAGAGAAAGAAGAAGTCGTGCACGAAACACACATAGAGTTAAATACAAGTAAGAAAGTGTACGAATAAAATGGAAGAATTCGAATTGGAAAGAAAATAGAATTAAAAAGTATACAACTTGAATCGATTCATTCATCAATTAATTCTACAACTAATTTAGCTTTCTAATTTAACTAAATTCTTCATTTATTTCTCGTTAATTTTCTACACAAGAGAGATCTACTCTAATTTCAATTCAAATCATTTTCTATAAACTTATTTTGAAGACAACGCGCGTTATACAATTAAACTTTATTTTAATTAATTTATCCAAAATCTTGTCCCTTCTTTTGATTACATTTAACTATGTTATATTGTTCTTAATTGTAATTACTTGTTTTGTTTATTTTTATTTTACAGTATAAATTAAGTCATTCATTAGAAATTATCAAATTCGTTTATTACACGCGTCGAACGTTTTATTATTTATTATTAATTAATGTTTCTTTATTTTTTATTTTTCTATAATATCTTAGATACTTGAAAAAAATGAAAAACAAAAGCAAATATAATTTTATTATATTATTAAAAAAACGAATGATCGATTCTTATAATATGAAGAGGTAGTAGTATGTTTGTTCTATAGCAAAGAAACACGTTTCCCGCGAATGAAATTAATAGAATAACGTTAATTAAGTTGGACTAGGTGTTAATTAGCGAAGCTAGTGACTTGTAAGATAAAATGAGTGGTAAAGGTGGGGAAGGGGGTGGGCACAGGAAGAAGAAGGGGTCAGGGGGGTGAACTGGAGGTGGATAAGGAGAACAAGGAACGCAATGATTGTTTTTATTTTCTTTTTCTTTCTTTTTCGGTAGAATTTTACGAAATATTTTTCAAGTATCCGAACGAGAGAGAGAGAGAGAGAGAGATATCGTAACTATGAGTTGAAAAAAAAATTGTATCGAGGGGGGTGGGCGGGAGGGGGGTACCTTAAGCAAGCAAGAAAGCAAGCAAGCTTGTAATTATTATCGTGCGAAATCTTGTCGAGGACGAGATTCGTCCTCACGCGCGGTTTGCTGCGGTTATTTCATTTTATTTCCAAGCGATTAAGCAATATCGCACTTGAGTGATCGTTCCTGTGGTTTTTTCCATGATTTTCTATCTCTGTTTTACTTTCTTCCTTTCTTTCTTTCTTTCTTTATTTCCTTTTGTTTTTTTTTGTTTTTATTTAGGGGGTGGACAGAGAAAATTTTGTTTTGTTTTAACGGAGAGTCAAATCAGTATACTTACAATTATTACAAATTTGATAATAAATGTTATATAGGAAATTTGTGAAAGAATTTATTTCTGTAAGTACGCGTGACGCGTATAAAATAATGTTTGAAGAAAAATAAGAAAAATTTAATGGCGATACTTATAAATTTTTGCGCAAACGATTATTAAATCCTTGACCTATAATTTTCTTTCTACGACATCTATTTTCAACAAAATTATGAAGCCCCCCCTCCTCTCTGAAGAAAAATTATTCAGAAATATTTGACAATACGAGTACTATAATTTTGGTGATTATTACAAAAAGTTCCTTAAATAAAAAAAATGAATTAAACCCCAAATCTACAATTTGATATTTTTTAAATATATTATTTTGTTTCGTAGTATTTTTAAGTTGAACAATTTTGTTTGTAGCTTCGTATTTTTTGTTTTCCATATCTTTAAATACATTTCATTTCTTCTGAAACTTTTTTTCTCGTATAACGTTTCCTTTTTTAAGAATTTTAATAACGAGTTAAACCCCCTCCCCCTCCTCCCCTAGGGGAGCTCTTTTATTATCTGAATTACGAGCGTGGTTTCATAATGAGCGAGCGCGTGCCTTTCAAGATGGTACATTTGAAATCGTCGTCTACACAAGTATAGATATTTAGATTATTATTCTTTAAATGAAATCTACAAATCTCGTCGTCTTATTTCTCTCTCATCACTTAGAATTCAAATTCTAATTACATTTAAAATCGTTAAGGGGACAAATTTATATTATGTACCCATTCTCAATACCATATTTATTCACATTTTATTCGTTTAAACAAATAATTATATACAAATATTTTTATCTGTTTGTGAATATATATATAAAAATTGTATATATTATTTAATATAGTTCATAAAACAAATTTAATATTTTCAATTATGCATTTATATTGAAACCATTTATCTAAAC